TAAATTTGTATATGTATGCTTAAAATAAAATAAAAAATTACCCTAACCGCCTAGGACCCGGATCCACGAATGACCCATCCTGACATTTATGATTCCTTCACGAACAACTTGTAAGGATCTGGGTCATGACCCAACTCTTTAGCCTCGAAAAAATAGAAATAAACAATGTCAAAATGCAATAAATTTAAATATTAATTTATAAAGCAATAGATAATAGGCCTTACCATCCATTTAGTGTGCTCAATCAATGAGTTGGAGCCCCCATATGTCTAAATGGCCCAACATCAACACCATCCGTCTCGCTTACGTGGTTTCATACTCGCTTGCTCAAAATAGACTTGAAACTCAAGTGTGTTCCAATCCCATTACCATTCATCCTACATTAACTATGGGACAAATGAGGGTTTATTGGTCTTTTTCAGTTGGTCAATATATTGGCATACCATTTGCATGCTAGATGCTCCTATGTCTATCCCATCTTAACCATCAAGTTGACGACTTTCCTCTCATAAAAACAATACTTCTATAAGGAAGAAAAAAAATTAATATAAGGATGTTTCATGTTACTAATTTAAATATAATATAAAGAAATCATTAAAATGTTACTTTAAACTCATTCTAGTAGAATTGTTTTGGCTTTTACGAGATTGACTTCCACGTGAAGCTCGGTAGGGTCCAATCACTCTTTGAAAATTCTAGTGATCCGGTGAGTGCACTTACTAGATGGATATAAATTGTCAAACACAAAAAATAAAAAATCAATAAATGAATAAATAATTCAAATACCGTATCAAAATATAAAATTAATTACCATATTTAAAATAAAAGAAAATTATATTTACAACTCGCGAACATATTACTTACTCGTTATGAACGACATAAATGGTTTGTTCAATATAAGACCTAAAAGTATTGTCGGGAGCAAAAAAACCACTAATGCGACATCCGTTGTCGAGTTTGGTCCTAGCATAAAAGCATCTTAGCAGATTGGGGGCATTGCTATTGGCGATGCTGAAACACTAGTCACTTCTCTAGGGTCGAAGTTGCATTACTACAAGCACGACCATAGACATCGGATCCGGTTGAATTGGACATTAGGTGGCGACGGCTCAAACCACAAGTAATTATACCTACGATATCACATCATATAGTTTAATAAATATAAAAAATATAAAAGTACTCGACTACCTTAATTTCAATATATTTTTTCCTACAATTCAAACAAAATTTTGATAGAATCTCCTTTCTAAATTGAATATTTCCTATTTATCAAAGATTTAACCTCCATAAAAAACAACACATCCAAAATACCCAATACACATTCAATAAACAAAACACATTCCATGACCTATACAAGTTTCAAGTAATATAATTTAATAAATATAAAAAATAATATATATATATATATATTACCTTGATTTAATGAATAAAACAAATAAAAAACATCATTGTATAACAAATTACATACTCAAAATTTTATCCTAATTTATCAACACCCAAACCTAATTAATTAAAAAAATTCTAATAAATTAAAAATAGGCTTAATTAAATTTCAAATAACATAAATTGAATTTCTTAACATATTTATTAATAATTAATTACATATATACAAATAGGTAAATTTCAAACAACCAAAAAATAGCAAAATCTAGAGTAATAATAAATGGACAAATGGCCCAAAAAGATTAGTTTTTGATAATTTTGCACCCAATTCAAAAATATAAAAAATTATAAATAAATTACCAAAGAAAGAAATCAAGTCAAACATGCACCCTTTGGGCATGCAGAAGAAGACCTGCACGGCCGGCTTGTTTTTTTTTTTTTTCTTTTGAAAAAAATAACAAATGGACAATGCGTTTCTTTTGTTGTGTAGCGCGAGTGAAGTACCATCCATGTGCAACTTCTAACAAACTCAGAGTTTATTCATAACGTCATCTGAAAATCAACAGTTTAATTTCAGACCTTCAAAATCTAAATTCGACATCTTTTTTGCTTTAAAACACTTCAAATTTATTGAAATAAGATCAAAAAAACTTATTTGAAACCTTAAAACACATTTCAATTCATATTAAAAAAAAAAAGATCAAATCCAAAAATTCAAAATACTTTGAGTTCGATCTACCTCCTTGGATTATTTTATAATTTGAAACTAGCATGAACAAAATTTCACCTTCACGCTGAATAATTTGAATGCATATTGACAATCAAAGTTGTCGGAATGGATCTAGCCATGGTTTTCTCTCTCCTTCCTTCTCATTATTCTCTACATTTAGAGACCAAATTATAGCGCAAATAAAGTTGAAAATCGAAATAGAAGTTTCTGAAAACATAAAAGACTAAACTGCAATATTGAATAAAACTTGTATATAAATGTCAAAATATAGTTTGAAAATCACAAAAACATCGATGTACGATAAAAATGAAAGGTACAATTGAGTTTTAATGAATAGTAACTAACAACATATCTAGTTTTGATAAACAGTAACTAATAGTATGTCTATTTTTTAGTTCTTTGTATGATCTAAAAACAACAATACTTTTGTATGGAAAATTTTCTCTCATCAAACACATCTCAACTTAGAATTAATTCATTTCAAATTACTTTTGCATGTCAAAATTAAAACTATTAAGCAACCATTCCACTTAAAACTGTTAGGTTGGATTGTAAGAATGATTTGTAGTTTTATATTCTCTAATTTAATATAACGGCCAAATTTTTATGGTAAATTTTTATTAGAATAAGGAAGCGAATTAATCTTAGATATGTAGAAGTCAATTGGATTAGCTAATTGCACCGAATTGTCAATATCGAGGATAATCATATTCCAAAAGCATCAACGCTTTAATTACCCAGACAAGTGACTAACTTTTCTATCCTTATACAAGATCACTGCTAATCGCAACCCAATTTCCCTTCTTACAATCCGTTCTTACGACCCTTTATATGATTCAATACGGAATTAGTCACTAGAACAAGAAAATAAAGAAAATTTGTTACTAGATATTTTATGTGTAAAATAGTCGCATACCATATGCTCCTATTTGGAAGACAACAAATTGACAATTCTGATAGTAATAGTAACAATACAATGAATGATAGACGAAAAAGAATAAAGTGGATGATCTCTCATGGGCAATGCTACAAAAACCTAGCCATGTTTACCAATGAGCAGAACACGTGACTTATCTTTATAGTACTGTTAGAATTTTAAAATAAGCATAGTTGTTTTAGCTACTTTTGATCTAAAAACAATATTTCATGAACAGTATTCGTTTTTAAAAATAGACACAAAATTTATAAATAATTGAAAGAAAAAAAAACAACTTCGCTTTTAAATCAAAGCAAGACATCTTCAGCTTTGAACCAAAAGTAAATTCATTTGTTATGGAATGTACTCTTTTCTTAAGAAATGCAATTCCATTAAATCATGATAGACAATTATCAGACATTGTATTACTTATACAAGTTTCAACTAATGTTGTACTATAATAAGGATACAGCCAACACAACACAACACAAAAAACAGGTAACATGCCCTAAATAAAACAAGTAGATCCAAAGTTTAACGTTTTCTTATTCTCCTATCAAAGTTGTGCCACTATTAACACTTTCTGATCCTTTGACAAACTGCGAAGGATAGACTAAGAAGCTTCATAGTCGTCTCAGAATGCAAACAGAATCTCCTTTATTTCATTTTAGTGCTTGTTTTGCTGTAAGCTGCGTACAGATACTTCTTTAACCATGTGGATCGTAACTAGTAATTGAGAAAAAAACTCGGTCTATTCAATCTATTGATATATAAAGAGATGCTCTTTCCTTAACCTATCTAGTCTCGTAAGTCGTAACTGTTCGAGAATCAGAACTACAGTTATTCCCCACCCAAAAGAAAGGTCATCGATAAAATCACCCCTGCACTCTCCATGACATGCTTTAAGGCTGTGTTTGTCTGAAGGAATTGGTAGAGGGAAAAAGGGGATGGAGTGAAGTAGAAGATGGACGGAGAAAGGATGAATAGATTACCATTCATCTAGTTATTTGGATAACAAATGAAGAAAATAATGAGAGTCGATTCATCTAAAATGAGAGCTTAAAAAATTACATAAGAAGGGAATGGCGCAGTCGATCCATCATCTAAATTAAAAGAATTAAAAATCACAAGTGAAGGTGGATTGAAAGTTTTTGGCATTCTTCTTACTAAACACAATAAACACCTAATCCTTCACTTCTAATCTATCATCCTCGTCCATTCTTCCCCCAATCTCTCCTTACAAACACACTCTTAAGAATTCGTATAAAAGTTTGGAACACTCTCACACCGACGCTAAATCCTGGCAGTGTCATAGCACAGGTGATCCTATCAGATAATATTTGAACAACATGACCGCCCAGCATTGAGTAATCAATAACCACTAGCAAATAATGGCTCTGTACTAAAGCAGCATGTTCACTAGAAAAGAAAAAGGGACAGAAACCCCACTAAACCCCAGGAAGCGTCCTAAAGGTGAACAATTCTTTTCCAGCCATATATACTCGAATGCTACAAAATAGGAACCAGAACCCATATGCCGATCCTTGAGCTATATAGGTGCAATAGACAATTAATGGTCTGCTTTAATACACGAAGGTCCCCTTCATTGCTTTACAAAAAGAATACCCCATTAAATCCAAAGTGACTTGACCAACACGATAAAGGGAATTCCCTTGGTTTATTCTTGGAACGGAGATCTATCAATCTTTTAGAGATGCAAAAGTTCTCTACGGATTGAAAATTAAAAATCAAAATCACAACAATAATGCATTACTTTATGCAGAGCCACCTTTGCTCACATCATAGAGAAAAGGGTTGCAATCCAGCCACTAAGACCAACCCTGTGGGTCCAGTGAGTTCTTTATCACAAGGCACATAGTAATATATTTTATGCAGGTACAATAGTGCGCAATCCAAATAGATTTCTTCATAGCCTAAATATAAAGCCCAGTGCTATTGTACGTAGGATGATTAACAAGCAACTACAGCGAACTGTTCCCATTCCAAAATTGCCTACCAAGATGTACAAGTTCACAACATAAAATTACTTAAAACGTTTTACATTATTGGCAGACTTTGGATGGACAGAACAGGGCATTTCCAACATTCTTATTTAAGAATCATGCCAATTTACCTTTTGAACGCTTTCACTGCCTTCAAATCCAAGCATTGGTAGCACAGTTACCTGCAGCCTGAATCCTTTCAAATACTTCAATAGAGTAACTAATTCCCTTCAGGTCTGGCAATTTCTGTTCATCTCTTTGCAACAAGATGCGCACTAGGTAGGTGATTTACAAGGCGGAGGAAGGAGTCACATGGACAAACTTGCCCCTGTAAGTGGTCCAAAATCTTTCTGCTGGCAATAAAGGGGAAAAACATCTCTTCTCTGTGTTTCCAAACAGAGAACCGGCCTGCAGCAGGGAAAAATTCAAATGAGACTAGCAGTAATAAAAATAAAGGCACCAAGAGGAAGTAAGAAAAAAAAAGTATGCCAGAGAAGAAAATACTTCATAATTGGACATCAGATAGGCCCAGCAAAAACGAACTTGGCTCACTGGATCCCGGCAGTGACATATATTCTGATCCTCTCACATGGGCACTAAAGCAAGCTGCAACAATAACTCAAATTAAGAGATACAGTGAAACTTCAAAAGAAAAACTTGGAGGCAAAATCTTCTCTGGCTACTTTTAAAGTTCAATTGAAAAAAAAAGGCAACCTGATATCATACACGCAGGTTCAAGATGATTGATGTAAATACCCATACATTATTGTTTAAATTTCAGAACATGCTAAAATGGATAACATATGAGAGATACATCCACAACATCTGTTTCCTTCACTTTAAGAAATTAAACAACTCGTTTGTTTGTTCAATTGAAAAAAAAAGGCAACCTGATATCATACACGCAGGTTCAAGATGATTGATGTAAATACCCATACATTATTGTTTAAATTTCAGAACATGCTAAAATGGATAACATATGAGAGATACATCCACAACATCTGTTTCCTTCACTTTAAGAAATTAAACAACTCGTTTGTTTCTTTCTACCTCTATAAGAACATGAAAATACAAATTATCACACGTGATTTTATTGGCAGTTTGAATAAATTTCTAAACAAGGCAGAATAGATGGCATAGATTGACATGAACAGAAGGATCGTGCAAAACTGTAACAGTCACCAACATGGAAAATCATCAACGAATTGGAAATAAGCAGGCACATACCAATATGATAGGGCTCAGGTTCAAAACAAATTTTGATCAGACTTAGAACACTGTACTTTAATTAGTAATGGCCCAATCAGTCTAATTCTATTTAGAATATATCAATACAAGGAATTCTGGTGTGTTACTGCTTCAACGAATTAACATCTTCTATACATGTGCACTGGTAAAGTGGGATAAAATTAATCACATTGACAATTACGGGCAAGAAAATTTGAATCAAATACCGTTCTCTATTTTCACCACACTTTGGAGCATTGTGTCCATCTTCAGTTTCATGTCAGAACTATCATCCATATGTGGGACAATAAGGGTCAGCTCCCTGTAGATATCACGTACAAACTGACATATCTCCTCAGCATATTCAAGCTCACGATCTGATATTCGTCCGATTGCCAACCGCATCAGCTCTCCGGTCAAATCTGCAAGCTGTACAAGCAGACTAATCACCTCTAATCCACAAGCGCACACATGATCATGCTATTGAAAGAGTAGAACCAATTGGGACTGTTTTGGTAACCATATACATGCTAGAATATTTTGTCGATACAGATTTGGTTTTTAGTGCTTCATGTTAACAGCTTTTAGATGACAAAATCACATACATAGGTTCACAAGCCTATTGTGCAGATATAACTTGCCACATGCCTCAAAGTGATAGACATAAGCTAGAAATTAGTAGATACCGTCACTTCACTGCTGACAATTTCATCTCACAAGATAGAATGTCGTGAATTAGTATATAGCTCAAGCAATTACCCCCAGCAGATAGTCAAGGACATTTATTTGCAAGGGCTCAACAGATGGATCACTTAGCGGCAACAAAGTAGCATTTATATCATCCAGATTCAAAAGAGTCCCAGTTCTGCAGAATTTACAGAAAGTTGCAGCTTCAACATATTCTTGTACCTGCAAAGACCCCAAGCATAATGAGCCAATACAGTACTCCACATCTGACCTTAATAGGTACAGGGAAAAGAATACAACCCCAGGAGAGTATGCTCGTCTTAGCTTCCAAAAATCGGTCCCTTGCAGTTCTTTCACCAACTTGGACATATACTTTTCTGTCACAGCAGCTAAATCCTTTTCTGCCTTGTCAAGAACTTCCTCTCTGTTGTCCTTGCTGATTCTATAATTACATGAAGAATGCAACATATAAAATCCAGTAACTCACAAAATCAAGAATTTGAAGCTTCCTAAAGTGAAGCTCAACCGATATATCCCATGACCCAAAAAATGTCTTAATCACACTAGGAAGGAAGAAAGCTATTATGACAAGGAAAACCAAATATCCAAAGATGTTACCTATGAACTTGAAATATGACCTTTTTGCTGTTCACAGTGATATCCCGACTCGCTTTTATCACTCTTTCGCGTTTTTCATTCTACAAGATACATGATTTTAGTTGAGTATTATGGAAGCTTCAATAATTTAACAAAAACAAATGTACCGAACCACTAAATTTTAAGCATGATCAGAAGTAACACTACAGAATAGCATCCGCTGTCTGCTCATGCAAATTGAAGCGGTCATCTTAACAACAATGAAGCTGTCCGGAGACATTGTTCGATAAGGCAATCAAAGGACCCAAATCCATATCGGCAGATTAGAATTAGGAAAAAAAAACAATGCCTGATTTTATTTTCTATTTTTTTACTTCAAAATGAAAAATAAGCATTTCTCCATGTAGTACATAATAACAGCAGCGATTTCATATTAGCTTAAAATTAAAACATAATAATTAAATTAAAATGAAATGAAAACGAGAGGAAAAGGAGAAAAAAATATTTACGAGGTTATTAAGATAATCAGCGTAATTTCCAAATGCATCCTTAAAGGAAGAAGAAGAAGACTCTGAAGTGCTGCCCATTGTCCTCACTCTCTTCACTGAGCTCTGTAACGCTGCCGCCATTGTCTCTGCAACTGATTGATCAATGTTCCATTCAGTCATTCATTTTTGAGCTAGGGTTTTCTTTTTTAACTTTTTTACCTTTCTACTGAGAATTTCTCAAACAAGAACAGTAAATGGTACTTAATTAGTTACCTTGATGGAGGCGGTGAGGTTTGGAAGTCAGGAGAAATAGCCTGTGGACAGTAAAGGAGGACGCGTGTCTCGTCAACAACATCTAGGCTTCTGGTCTTTCCCTTGTTATTTTGGAGCGCTTTCTCCGTTCACAATTTGGGAAAATGCTTCATTTTTTGCAGACTTTTTTATTAACTGAATAAAATTATGAAATGGGTGGGCTTGTCAATGGAGTTTGGATAAGGCCCACCCGTTTAGCCTAGCCGAAATACAACAAAAAGTTCATGGGCCCATCTTCACCACTGGGCACGGTATGGAAACTTAATCCAACACTAACCTGGTTCCGAATATTGACATCCCCTAAATTTGAAACTATTAATCAAGCATATGATGATTTGTTGCTTGTCCTTCTATGGTTTCAATTACTCGGTAACATGTTGGTAATGATGTTTTTTCAATATGAGCAATGAAGAATAGGTTTTGATAGGCTACCCTGGCCTTCCTTTGTACTCATGGGCCTTTAGTAGATTCATATACCGACGAGGGTTATTTCCTGTCAATAGAAAAGGAAAGAAAGAAAGAAAGAAAGTCGCCGTAGCATGCATTAACAAGGGTTAATTAATAATGTATGTAGAAAAATAAAATTGAAAAAGGCTTCCCCTTTTCAGCCCATGCAATATTTCTTCATTAAAAATTGCCTAAAGGTTATTGTATGAGTTGCTTGAATCTATAAACTTCAGGTTTCTGTCTTTTAGGACCAAGTAAAGCCGCATGTACGTAGTGCTTTAAAATCTTAAAAACAAGAAGCGCATACATTTCGCAAATATATATATATATATATATATATATATATATATATATATATATATATGGGCTACCTGCCCTTAGCGGAAGCCTGGAGGTACTTCTAGTATAGGCAGCCGAAACGACATGAGACTAGTGAAGATGTGAAGACAATAAAGGAATATGAAAGCACCTGACACACATGTTAATAAAAAAAAAAAAAATGAAAGATTTAAACAAAGAGGATTGATTTGAGTGAAAATAAGTTTTAATTATTTAAATAAATAATATCGAATATATGTAAAAAAATTTTGAATAACTATTTTTATTTTTTATATTCGATAAAGTAGCAAAGAATTAGTTTGAGGTTTTGAGACAGATAATCTAAAAGATCAAAATAAATGGTTAAAAGTCAAAAGCAAACTAGATAACACCATTTGGAGGAATTAGAGAAAGATAGAGAGGCTACATTGACACTTTTAAGATCCTATAATAATATCTATAAACGATCAATGACTTGTCTGATTTAATACGATATGTGTTGTAAATCACTTCTTCCTTGAGTTTGAAGTTAATAAATTACATACCAAATATTGTTCATGAAGATGAATTTCAACTTGCATAAAAGTGGGATATATAATTATAAATCACATGTTAATTAGGTGGATGGTAATTGTGATATCAATACAGTGAAAATATTTAACGATTTTTTACACGGCAGAGATTACTCGGTATGGGTGAATTGAATGTAATTATAAATTTATAACAAGTAGCCAAATATTAGAGAAAAAAAGGGATTTTTGGAAACTAAGGTTTGATTCTGTTGAAACGTAAAATCCCTACATTCTCTGTTTTTGGAAGCATTTAGAATAAGGGCTTGTCTTGTTGGATAGTTGACATCCTTTTCACTCAATCGGTAAAGTCCAAGAACCATATCCCAACGATCAGAAAGAAGAACATTAAAGTATTAATAAAGCATATGAGGCCATTCTCTAAGAAACAACATACACTTCACATACCCACGCATATCATTAAGCCGACCAGGTCCCTTTCAATGCATGGGAAGTTGCCCAATTGTCAAAAAAATTGCGATCGGCGTAGAGGGTGTCCAATTGCCAAATTATCAATCAAAAACAACAGGAGCACAAAAGCAGACCACATTTGCTCCTTCCCCAGCAGAGATGCCAAACGATTGTCAACAAAACTCACTTAATTCTTTCCACTTGGCTGCTTCTGTCAAGTTGCAATGTAATCTTGGGAGTTGAAACTCCGAATACAACAATGTTCACAAACTTCTCAGAAAAACAAGCAAAAGAGTTTAAAGGATTTCCTTACTTCCCTTTGATTTTGATTCTGAAAACACCTACTAACATGCATTTTCTTTTGGTGATTCAAAGAATGAGATATCCGAGTGAAACCTTTTTTTTTTTTTAATTGCTTCAACTAACCCAAAAAAATTTTTAAAAAATAGTTGACAGGTTAACTCACGCCTGGCAATGAATTGAATTTGGTTATTTTCAACTTCCTTTTGTTATTTTAAAGTTATCTGAACTGACTAAATATTAATATAATTAAAGCAAGATGGCAGGAATATAGGATCGAAGTATTGTTTATTTTATGGTTTCCGTGCCGACTGGTGAGTACCGATCCCCTGAAATGTCTTTTGTTGGCTATAAAAAATTTATTCCTCTGGGATCACTCGGTGAAAACATATATATATACGAGACATTGTCATATTCCATGAGATGGTTAATTTTGAAAAATGCATGTAAAATGTACAATCTGCATACTAAATTGTTTGAGTAATTATATTATAAGTATATTAATTTTTTATTTTTGATCACATATATGTTGCATTTACAATACTAAATTATAATTTTACTCTTTTTGTTGAATATATGAATTTTATTTATTTAATATATATTTCATCATGCATATTTATTATAGTGATCACAGTGTTTTGCGTATTTGACAAGCATCTTGTTATTACATCACAACAACCATTTTATTTCACAATATATATATATATATATTTCACAACAAACAAAACACATAACCAGTCGAGCTAGCCACCGAAGAGATTAATTGGAAAGGTGTTAACTAACCACTTTATTTCAAAATTTTGAGTCGAGATAGACCTTTTCAATTTCTTAAATAGATGAATCGAATAATTCACCAGATAAAGAGAGACTTGAATGACTGTAATTTATGATTTTTTTTTTTTTTTTTGATCTATTATGCCCGTTCACATAGCATCGTTGGACTTTTGCAACTAAACAGTAAATACATTCATTTGCACAGAAGTTTATGCATTAGAAGTGTTAATTGATTATGATTTCAGAATAATCCTAATACAGTATTATCTAAAATACCCATGAATAATCAAAATTTCAAACGAATTTTTAGATGTCGTGGAAAGCAAGGCTCCATTATAGGAGCGTGAAGTATCTAGATTGCTAAAGTTTTTTGGAATCACTTGATCGGATCACTTGCAAATCCAATCAATTATTACTTCCAATTAATTTTTTAATTGATTATCGCAACGAGCAAAGTCAACACAGTTTCCAATAGGCATAACATATTTTTATTAACCCGTAATCAATCACTTGTCATGTGATTGGTATAGAACCATACGGACACATATAAGCTTGACACATAAGAGGACAAAAAATGGAGGTTTCTTTTCTTGCATGGCAAGAGAGGAATCGAGTATCTCCATCGAAGTTCCCCGCGGATGGACTTGAGCAGCGAAGGGAATTGATGTGTCAGGTCTCATGTGTACCATGACAAGAACAGCAGAAATACTTTAAATAAAACTATAGTACGTGGTGCTTTATTGGCAAAACCCATTCTGTCTATCCGCACAATATTTTTACTTGAAATAACAAAGCCTTTTGTTTTTTTAAGGTCTTTTGTCTTGGTTCGGTAAGTCCAAAAATGGTCTGCATAGCCCATCAGTCTCCAACCCTAGCCCTGACTCCAAACAAACATTAATTCAACCCCTTCTTCCCCATTCAATATCAGTTAAAGCCACCAAGTCAAAATGGGATTTCAGGACTGATGCTCTCCTGAGCTCAAAACAGCAGCAAATTAAACTAGCTTCAATGAATTCAAACTGAGTTGGTTCCTTTTGTTCAACTTGGATTGAGAAGGGAAGAAGATGCCGTTGGCGATGACTATATGGTGACTTGAGACCAAAGATGCTATCTATCTTTCTCCGGTCTCTATCTATGTAGCTGGGAGGTTTTGATTTGTTAGTTTGGGATTGCTAACGCCATTGGTCTAGACTGCATATGTGTTCCTCTATTCCTTAACATTGTCATGCTGATGCATTATCGTAAAAATAATATTTTGGGGATAATTTGTCATTTCAGGTAAAAAGGCGGTGCCAGTAGCGCCACGCGCCCCGGGCGCTCCCCCACAGCTGGCGATAGTGCATGGTAGTGGCCTACAGCTATCATAACTAAATGGCTTTGCATTGCTTTTTAACGGAACAGTTCTTGTTTTGAAAAATCCTTTTTTTAAAAAAAAAAAATCTCTTCAATGTGAAAAATCGAATTGTTAATTTCTGTTTTGAATTTGAACTAAAAGAATTTCCAAGTTAAATTTCATTGAGTGTAGATGAGAGATTTAGGAAATGGTAGATCCTCCACATCCTTATATTATAGGGACAATTATAAAAATCCCATATAAGAAGGTCTTTAATCCAAAAAAATCCATCATTATATTTTTTATCCATAAAATCTCAAAACAAATTTTTCGTAGAAATAATGGATTTTCATTTGACGCAAAACGACAAAATGTAGTACTAATTTAGATGTCTATATGCATTTTGTGGTTTGGAAGAATTATTTAGTATATTCGGCAATTTATTTTTCTTTCTCGTATGAAAATAAATCTTATATTTATATTAGAGATGAGAGTATAATTCTAAATGTGTCTAATAATTTATGAAATGTACTATAAATACATTAATTTTTCATTTTTTAATTAAAAACATAGATTTTAATTTTTTATTTAAATACATTTATTTTTTCAAAATTATCAAATAAGTACTTTTGTTAATTTTTTTATTACCTGATGAAGTATTATTACCTCCAGAATATTAAATTACAAATCTATTCTTTTTTATTATTATAGGAAACTTTCTTCTCAAAATTATTCAACCATTTCAAAATTTCATAAAAATTTAAAAAATAAAATTTTTTAGCTAATAAATTTTGAATTAAACTCAATTAAATTTAAAAGTCAAAATTGAAGAAAACAAAAATGAGAGATTTTTCAGCAAAAAGATTTATTACTTGTGAGTATTTGAAGGAAAGTTCCCTCAAATGAAAAAAAGCCAAAAATATATAATTTGTTATTGTAGAAGTAAGTAACACATTATCAATTAATGAAAATTTTAATGAAAATACTTGATTAATAATTTTGAAAAAATTAGTAAATTCAAAGGAAAAAATAAATAAAATTCATGTACTCAGTTTTAGAAAGAAGAAAGCAAAATTGTAATACTAGTATTATGAAGATAACAAACACGTCATCGCTTAATAAAAAAACTATCGAAAATATTTTATTAGTAATTTAAAAAATGATGTATTAAAAAAAATTAAAATTCATTTATTCGATTAAAAAAATAAAAAATTAACGTACTTATAATACAACTATCCCAAATATTAATTAATAATGGGAGATCAAGAATTCTAATATAGTTTTAAAATCGAGGTTCCCTGCCCCTTTTATTCTCTAGGATGAGACCCTTGTCTGCTTATTGATTAATGTTCTTGCGAGCAAGCTATAATTTTATATATATATATTCGTCCCAGTAGAGCTGTAGAAGTTGACATTGGTATACACTTTGGCATAGGGTTTTTTTCTCTCTCTTTTGGGATAAAGAACAAGAAGCCCATTATAATCTAGTACTTCTAGTTCATCAAGAAGCTAATTTAATTGTTTTCTATAAATTTCTCTTTTTTTTCTAGTAAAAAATTCCCATACCTGTCTCCTTCTTTTTTCTTTTTTTTTACTTTTTCTATTTCTTAAAAAGTAAAAATTAAAATAAATTAAAAAATAGTATGAAAATTTACAAAAGAACTGAGACAGAAAGGAGTTTAAAAACATAAATATATACTTCTTAAAACTGTAAAGATTAAATAATTAATTTTGTGAAACTATAGTTACTAAGTTATCTCTATTTCAAATAGATTGTACTATTTTTTTATTTATATCTACTTCAAAATAATTGTTTCATCAAAATTTTAAATACTGTGTTTTTTAAAAATATCTCTAATCAATTTTTTTGTTTCTTATTTTTTACTAATTAGAAATCAATATTCTTTACACTTTTCTTCTACACGTACAAATATTTTTAAAATAAAATAAAATTCAAAAGTAAAGTTTTTATTCCATAAAAACTATTCATTTTATGAAAATTTAGGATTCCTTAATTATCTTTAGACCCCTATAAGAAATTTCCAACTTAAAGGAACGAAAATTTTGATTTGGCACCTTGATTTTGGGACTAATCTTTTAGCATAAAATTTCATGAAAATTTTAGAAAGGCTTAATGATCTCTAAATCTTTTTAAAAATTTCCAACTTAAACGGGAGGGAAGAAGATCTTGATTTGATATTTGGATATTGGTACTAATTTTTTGGCTTAAAATTTAATGAAAAAATTAAGATTCCTTAATGATCTTTATATCTTTATAAAAAATTGCTAGCTTAAATTTGGAAGGGACGAAAATTTTGATTTGGCACCTTGATTTTGGGACTAATTTTTTGGCATAAAATTTTCCAACTTAAATGGGAGGGAAGAAAATCTTGATTTGACGTTTTGATTTTGGAACTAATTTTTTGACTTAAAATTTTATGAAAAATTTAGTATTCCTTTAATGATCTTTAGATCTTTATAAAAAATTTCAAACTTAAATTTGGGAGGGACGAAAATTTTGATTTGGCACTTTGATTTTGGGACTAATTTTTTCGCATAAAATTTCATGAAAATTTTAGGAAGGCTTAATGATCTCTAGATCTATCTGAAATTTTACAACTTAAATGGGAGGGAAGAAAATCTTGATTTGACGTTTTGATATTGGAACAAATTTTTTGACTTAAAATTTTATGAAAAAAATTAGGATTCCTTAATGATCTTTAGATCTTTATAAAAAAAAAATTCCAACTTAAATTTCGGAAGGAAAAAATTTTGATTTGGCACCTTGATTTTAGGACTAAGTTTTTCGCATAAAATTTCATGAAAAAAAATTAGAAAGGCTTAATGATCTCTAAATCTTTCTAAAATTTTCCAACTTAAATGGGAGGGAAGAAATTCTTGATTTGACGTTTTGATTTTGGAACTAACTTTTTGGCTTAAAATTTTATGAAAAATATAGGATTCCTTAATGATCTTTAGATCTTTATAAAAAAATTCCAACTTAAATCTAGGAGGGACGAAAATTTTGATTTGGCACCTTGATTTTGGGACTAATTTTTTGGCATAAAATTTCATTAAAATTTTAAAAAGGCTTTAAAGATCTCTAAATCTTTCTAAAATTTTCCAACTTAAATGGGAGAAAAGAAAGTCTTGATTTAATGTTTTGATTTTGAAACTAATTTTTTGGCTTAAAATTTTATGAAAAATTTAGGATTCCTTAATTATCTTCAGATCTTTATAAAAAATTTAAAACTTAAATCTGGGAGGGACAAGAGTTTGGATCTGGTATCTGGATTTTGGGACTAGTTTTTTGACATAAAATTTTAAGAAAAAAATAGAAAAGCTTAATGATCTCTAAATCTTTTTAAAATTTTCCAACTTAAACAGGAGGGAAGAAAATTTTGATTTGACGTTTGGATTTTGGAACTAATTTTTGGCTTAAAATTTTATAAAAAAAAATTAGGATTCCTTAGTGATCTTTATAAAAAAAATTGCCAGCTTAAAATTGGGAGGGACGAAAATTTTGATTTGACACCTTGATTTTGGGACTAATTTTTTGGCATAAAATTTCATAACAATTTTAGAAAAGCTTAACAATCTCTAAATCTATCAAAAATTTTCCAACTTCAATGGGAGGGAAGAAAATCTTGATTTGACGTTTTGATTTTGAAACTAATTTTTTGACTTAAAATTTTATGAAAAATTTAGGATTCCTTATTGATCTTTATAAAAAAATTCCAACTTAAATTTGGGAGGGACAAAAATTTTGACTTGGCACCTTGATTTTAGGACTAGTTTTTTGGGATAAAATTTCATGAAAGAATTAGAAAGGATTAACAATCTCTAAATCTTTCTAAAATTTTCCAACTTAAATAGGAGGGAAGAAAATCTTGATTTGATATTTTGATTTTGGAACTAATTTTTTGACTTAAAATTTATGAAAAAATTAGGATTCTATAATGATCTTTAGATCTCTATAAAAAAATTTCCAACTTAAATTTGGGAGGGACAAAAATTTGATTTGGCACCTTGATTTTGGGACTAATTTTTGACATAAAATTTCATGAAATTTTTAGAAAGGCTTAATGATCTCTAAATCTATCTAAAATTTTCCAACTTAAATCGGAGGGAAGAAAATCTTGATTTGATGTTTTGATTTTGGAACTAATTTTTTGACTTAAAATTTTATGAAAAATTTAGGATTTCTTAATGATCTTTATAAAAAATTTCCAACTTAAATTCGGGAGGGACAAAAATTTTAATTTGGCACCTGGATTTTCGGACTTAGTTTTTTTGCATAAAATTTCATGAAAAAATTAGAAAGGTGTTAACAATCTCAAAATCTTTCTAAAATTTTCCAACTTAAATGTGAGGAAAGAAAATCTTGATTTGACATTTTGATTTTGGAACTAATCTTTTGACTTAAAATTTTATGAAAAGTTTAGGATTCCTTAATGATCTTTAGGTCTTTATAAAAAATTTCCAACTTAAATTTGGGAGGGACAAAAATTTTGATTCGGCAACTTGATTTTGGGACTAATTTTTTGGCATAAAAGTTTCCAACTTAATGAGGGAAGAAAATCTTGATTTGAGTTTTTGATTTTGGAACTAATTTTTTGGCTTAAGATTTTATCAAAAATTTAGGATTTCTTGATGATCTTTAGGTCTTTATAAAAAATTTACAACCTCAATTTGGGAGGGACAAAAATTTTGATTTGGCACCTTCAATTTCGGACTAATTTTTTGGCATAAAATTTCAAGAAAAAAATTAAGAAGGATTAATGATCTCTAAATCTTTCTAAAACTTTCCAACTTAAATAGAAGGGAAGAAAATCTTGATTTGATGTTTTGATTTTAGAACTATTTTTTCTGCTTAAAATTTTATGAAAAAAAAAGGATTTGTTAATGATTTTTAGATATTTACAAAAAAAATTTAATTTAAATTTAGGAGGAACGAATATCTTAATTCCACGTCTTGAGTTTAAGAGAGCTTAATGATCTTCATATTTTTTTAAAAAAAATTTCAAACCTCAAATTTGATAAGATGAAATGATATTTTAGAAAAAAGTAAGAATAAAAAAAATTGATATATCATGATAATTAATATTTTTTAAAAATTGTGTGTAAAGTAAAAAAAGACTAATATTTAATATCTTGGAACAGAAAGAGTATGATTTTGTTTTCTAGTCCTACTTAAACGGCAAATTTTGAGGAGTTTTTTTGCACATTACTCATTGAAGCTGTCTGCAATTTTTTCAGGAATAGTCATTATTCGAAGAGAAAAGTCTACCCCCACCTACCTTACCGACCTCATCATGCCATCCAATCCTTGCTTGCTTTCTTTCTTTCTTTCTTTCCTTTCTTTAACGACTCAATCCACGATTGAATAAAGCATTAATCACTAGTAACAACTTAGCCTTGAGTAGTAAAGAAATGAAAATATACGAGAAACCGTTGGCTTGATCATTCTAGTCCACTAATTAAACAATAATTAGTTTTACAAATTGTATATTAAAACTTTGAATAAATCACAAGTTTCTCTTTTCTGTAAATACCAAGGTTGAGATTACACAGTAGTAGAGAGGGATTTACCATTAAATTAATTAAAGGGGCAAAAGAGTAGAAAAGAAAACAGGGTCGAGAATTGGGAAATTTTAGCTTCCAACAATCAACGTCTTGCGAAATCAAGAAAATTCCAATCGAGCTTGGAATATACATGCACATTAATTCCAACAACAATTGACTGGTTAATTCCAAATGCAACTCATGTCCCACAAAATTTGATCAACATAGAGACGCAAAGTAATTGGAATTCAAAACTAGCTGTACTGGAAACTGGAACTCTGTCACAGGAAGTGGTAATTGGATTGCTAATCTCGTTCATTAATGATAAAAGGGTGATGCAGCCTGGGAGTCAAGTGGTTGTTATTTGTCAGAAGATGGGACAAAAACGATCACTTAAAAGTTTTGGATGCATATCTGCATGATATAAAAAGATATGAAGGTGACGGGTAGTGACCGATTTTCTGACAGAAGTTTGATGGAAAAAAGCGTTAAATACACAGAATGTCGTCCTTGAGATCGACTTCCATGCAATGAATGTGGATGATCATCCATCATATAAATATTTAGTGGCATAGAGCCATAGAGTTCCCTGGGAACAAAAAGGTTTTAGGTTTCTTCTTTTTCTTCCCACTGTCTTCGAGGGCTCTCTCTCTCTCTCCCCAATATGGAAGCCAAATTAAAAATAAAACTATAAAATTGAAGCTTTTGTGTTTTTAAGTCTTGCAATCTACTACAATAATACAGATAACAGTCGGATCATACAAAAAAAATCTGATTATTAATCTCGTTCCAATCGATTCAATAAAAAAATTAATAATATAAATATCTTATTAATTCAGATTAATTCTAAAAACTAAATATGTAAGTGATTTTATCGAACTCGATTAATAGGTCCTAATTTAGATTAATTTTAAAAAGTAAATATGTATAAGATCTTACCGAACTCAATAAGTCATTAGTTGAAGCAATGACTCATGGATCCAATAACTTGATTATATTCAGGGATGATAATAAATTAGGTATTCTGCTATTTAATTCAATTCATTATCCTAATTATTAAAAAATACAATGATTTTTGTTATTTAAAAAATTTACTTTTTTAAATTCACACTCCTCTCATGTTTGATTTAACGGCCCATTTAATACCTACTAAAATAACTTGTAAAAATGTTTCATTTTAGTCAAATATAATTTTGAAAAAATTATTTTAATCCTTAAAATTAAATTTTTTTACAATTTAGTAATATGTTAATAAGTTTTTTGGTCCTCAAAGTTTTTTAATAAAAAATCGTCCTTATTTTATACAATTAGATGTTTGCATGTTATTTAAAAAAATAATTAATGCTATTAATAAAATATAAAATAGATACTCATATTTAAAAGTTATATAAGTAAATATATTTTTTAATCCTTATTTATCTCATGCTTAAGATATATTTTTTTAAAATAGTGTTTATTGAATTAGATTAAGAAAACATATATTTTAAACTTGACTATTATCATATGTAATGGTGAGACTTTTCGATTTAATGACGTTTTTATAATATTGCAGAAAAAAAAATTACAGGGACCATCGATCCGTGGGAGTAATATCCTCCATAATTTTATAATTTGAGGTGAATGGAGTAAAATTTTGAATGCCTAAAAACCCAATGAAGCATGAGGTAAGACCAAAGAGCCCACGAGGCAGAAGCACAACCATACCTTGAAAAAGAGGGAAAAAAATGAGTATGGTAGTCCAAACTGTACCTTATCCCTTCGATTCATCGCCAATCATGGTCACACGTTCTTCCTTCTGTGGTTGCATTTGCATCATCTAACTTTCCTTCCTTGCGCGAGTACCGACAAAAAAGAAAAGAAAAAAGGGTTATCCGTCTCTCACCCGCGCACAATAGCATACGATGAGCACCAAGGCTACACGTGTAAGCCAACTAAAAGGACGAGATAATGTGACACCATGTACAGATCCCGGAAGTCTCGTTTCTACAGTCGTGCTTTTAACTCGCAGAAGCAACTCAGTGGGGTCAAGCTGAAGCCTCGAAACATGACTTGCCTTGTGTACGAATTCTGTTTCATTGCATAGTACCAGGACTTGTCCTTTTCTCTAAAGCTGAGAGGAAATTGATGTTTTAGCTTTTAGTATTGTGATATTTCCTTAATTGTTTTGTATTCTCATGATCCACTGTATGTACAGTATACGAATATAATGATACATCGATTTATACAGCATACAAATACAATGATACATCGATATATAATCCATGAAAACAACAATGAACACCATTGAGTCTCGATTTTTTTTTTTTTAAATAATACGTTAAACACGAGCATGGTATATTTTGTCAATAAACACCTATAATGTAAGAAAACACCAGAACTTCTTCCTCCGCATTAAAACAAAAATAATTATAAAAGCATTTTTTTAAAAAAAATACCATGGAGTAAGAAAATAACAATAATATTAAGAACATCTTGAGGGTAAAAAAAGAGCCAAACTTTTGAAAGGTTTTTTGATTTTTATTTTTTTCATTACACCTTCAAAGTAAACATATGAGCAGTCAAATAAGTGCTTATCAATCGATATAACATCTGTTTACCATGAAGTTGAAGACTTAAAACTTCATTTTCCATGAATTTAACACCCATGAAGAGCGGTGATATAGAATGTACGGATTAAATCCACGCAGTTGATTATTTTGTATGTTTAAATCTGATTTCTTTCCTTAATCCACGCAGTAAGAAATTATTACTTCGAATTCTACATATCTTTCCAGATTCCTTCTTTCCCTGGTCGTCTTTCGCTTGCTAGAACTATACAGTCATAAACCTAACTTCCGGATTTGACTTGATTTGAATAGAGTTAGAGCTCACAGAAACTGTAATGGTACCCAATGCATCGCATTTTCCATTCAAAGAAAGAAGGGGCTTTGTGACACGATTCTCGTACCATGTCAAATTGCCTAATTCACCCCGATACTATAAATTTTATTAATTAACTCCCTCTACTCCCCCTCCGTGATTAATATGGATCTTTCTTCCAATTATAGCTTGCATGTTCCATACCTTCCTCGTTTGATTCCAATTGAATAAAAATTTTCATTTGGAATTTTAAAACTGATGAAGAAATAATAATAAAAATAAACCACTGATTTTACAAATTTTTTTTTTAATTTTTGCAAACACTCAATAAGTAATACATGATGATTAATAATGGGAAAAAAATTCATTGAAGATTGATGTATGTAAAAAAATAAAATTATAGTTATATTGACATAGTATAAACAATGATATAATGCTTATTGTAAAAGTAACTAGTAATAGTTAGAAAACATGTTTTGATATTTATATTAATTTAAACTAATAAAAATCATATATTTAATTAAATTCTCTTTTAAAGTTATGTCATAACTTTTAATTTAGATTTGAAGCCAAAGAGAGGACAAGCGGAAGAGACGCTATTTTTCATTATTATGTGATGGTACCGTAGTGTGTATCCCTTGATAGAAGGTTGGGATTAAATTACCAAAATTGTAACTATTAGGACTGAATTAAACAAATGAACAGAGTATAAGGATTCTCCAATTACTAAACCTTAAATAAAAAGGCTGGGAATTAGAGCAACTGGGCTGTTTGGGTGGGAGGGATGAAAGTATGAAACTTGAAATTCATAACATGTGGGTCCTACACTTTAATAAAAAATAAAGTAAAGTAAAAATAAAAATAAAGCAGCAGTAGCTAGCAGCCAAAATAGCCGGTAAATTCATCATGTAGTCCGTCAAGATTTGAAGCATTACATACCAAGCCCTCTCTCTTTAATTTTCAGCAAGACAATCCTGGTACTTTCAATTCTTACTCTCACGTGGTCCCTTAATACAGCACATTTTCATTAGATCTTTGCCATGTGTTAACACATATAGTCAGTCAGACTCATATACATGCCTAAGCCTATAAAGGGACAAAAAAAAAAAAGATAATAAATTCAAAATTTGAGAGTTGATATGATCAAAGTTAAAGTATAATGGCTGATTTAACAGATTTACAAAATGTGAGTGATCATACGGTGAATTTACCCGCAAAATCATATGCATGCAGTGAAGGCAGGAAGGGCCAGGCTAGCTAAAATCCTTCGACAAACCTGACGCTACTCACTCTGATCGTATCATCCGCCTCTTTCACAGTCACAGCCTAGCATCTCTCTCTCTCTCTCTCTCTCTCTCTCTCTCACTCACTCTGTTCGAAACAAAACAAATCTCCTTCTCTCCTTGCCGTCACTTTTACCGGCCACAACCAACACAGAAAACAACAGAAAAACTTTTTATCTCCGGCGAAACGACAACTGCATCAGCAGCAAAAACAAATAACCGTTTTGACTTTTACTAACTTCGTAAGTATCTCAGATTCTCTTTCTCTCTCCCCGACATCGTTGTCAGTTTTTAAATTAAGAAGAAGAGTCTAACGTAAGAAGCTAGAAAGAAAGCCTTGTTCGGGATTGATGCTGCAATAAAACCATATCTTTATCTTTCTCGGGAAAAATAAATCCTTGCTGTTTGGCTACTCGGAAAATCAAATCAGAATTTGAAAAAATAAGCAGGTAAATAAGGCTAAGGTATTTATTTAGTTGGGGAGGTATTGAATGCTATAATTAATAAGGGTTGTGGGGTTTGATACTACAAACAAGCTGTTAGCTACTTTTATGCTATGGTATTAATTACAGACATCTGGTGACTGACCTTTTTTTGTAATTAGGATTTAGCTTACTATGTAAATTACAACTCTATCACATACATCTGTCTGTCTTACTTCGTTTCTCTGTTTGCCTCTTCCTTTCACTTCTCCCTGTCTCTGTTTCTCAAAATTTATTGCTATTATTTCTACTCTTAAAAACACCTACCTCTTTAACAAACCTTAGTTTTACCCACAGAATGTCTCTCTCTTTACTGCTTGAGGTCCCTTCTCTTTCTTTATTTTTTCCTTTATATATCTTCAGGTTTTGCTTATCTATGGACTTCTCACTGGTAGTTAAAGAGTTAGATGTTGATGGGTTCTTCTTGTTTATATGTTTTCTTAATTTTTCTATTTTTGCAGGGATAGGTCTTGAAATGAGTGACTGTTGATTCTGAATCAGAAACGAAAAAGGGGTTCACCTTCTTTTGAAGCTGATAAAAAAAGGTCCGACATTGTTTATGTTTTATTTGATTTGATTATTACTATTTTTTGTGTCGTTTTTTGAGGTTGTTTATGTGGTGGGATCTGGTTTTAGATCTCTTTTTTTCATTTGTTTTGGTTTCTACTGGCTTTGATTTACTTTTCTCATGGGACTTCAGGTAAAAGTTAAAACCCATCTGGGATTTTCCCAGGATGTTTCTAGATTTCAAGTTTTTTTTTTAAAAAAAAAATTCTAATTGTCATGGTTTTAGATCTGATTATCACCAGCTACCAAACAAAAAGAAGGTGGTGGTGCTGTACGACGGTCATTGAGGGTATCTTTTTTCTTTTTTAATGTTTAAAAATTTGGTTGTGTTATCAAATTTTGTTGAAAGTCTAATGTAAGCTTTTGCAAAAGTTTGAACTTTTGTATTGTCCTTTTGTATTAAGCAGAGTACAGATTTAAAAATTCCACATGGTTTGCCGAAAGCTTTTGTTTGACCTTGGAATGATCGATTTGGAGCCATTATTCTTATACATTGCTTTTGGGTCATTTAATCGGACAAGCATTAATAATATTTTACTAGTTTTAATCTAAGAATGTAAGCTTGAACTCGGATTATATTCAAGCTCAAAACACTTGAACTATGTTTTCTTGTTTCCTCGTCTGGAAACTATTGGATCACAACAACTTTCCTTCCAAGACCTATAGTATTTAGTTTAGGTTTCTATTGTATAACTACGCCAGTTGCAGGTCTTCTTTTCATGATTAGTTTATGTGAGCTTCCTAGTTGATTCGTTACTTGACTTCTTGGTGGTTTTTTGTCTCTAAAGGTAGAGAATGTAGTTACCACTAAAGACACATGATTGCTAAATTTGACACATTAAAGTCAAGGTTATTTGTAATATCTAGTAGTTTCAGGTTGAATGTGGTTTTCTTTCAAAAAATTTGCCCTGAACTTCTTTTCCCCCTTGACTTGTGTCATATTTGCTTCATTGTATTGTTTAGCTGTTGGGTTACTTCCCAAGCTTCTCATGCCTGTAAAAGTTGGCCCATTATTTGTTTAGGACTTGGACAACCTTAACGGTGATTGCAGTTTATTTGATGACTGTTAGATGTTGGGTTACTTCCCAAGCTTCCTAGTAATTTATGACTGTTAGATTGCAGTTTATTTGATGGTGCTAGTTCTGTCATTTTAAACTGGAGCATCTGCACATTAATTTTATCTCCTTACTGTTTATTTTCTTTTCTAAAGTGGTTTATTTGATTTTCCTTTCCAACTTTGTTTGATGAGCAGGTTAGACTGCAGTATCCAAGTAGTATGTGCTTGAAAATATCATCAATAGTAGCTTGAAGTTCTCTACATCTTCCATCTCATATAATCTATGTGAAACATGAGACTTGGTAAATACCTCCTCTGTGCCCTTCATCTTCTTTTGGCATGTATTATCAGGAAACTTGCCACTATTATATTCTTTGTTTAGTATTCTATTTTACTTGCTGGACGGATTCTTTTGTCCAGAAAACTTGACTTATCAGAGGAAGTTTAATTACGGTGTCATTGAAGTTTTTTTCTGCTATAGACATTTCTAATTCTTTGCTATTGAATGCTACACCTCTTGCAGAGAGCGAACATGTGTTTTGCAATGGAACTATGGGCCATGAGCCTGATTCTAGACCTGTCGAATATCACGACAATGCTCTGGATTCCACTGGAAATGGGATTGTGAAGGAAAATGAGAATGGGAAATTTTGTGATTTGAAGGCCATGGAAGTTGATGCAGATCGATTACCAAATGTAGCACCTGTACAATCTCCGCGCTCTTCATTGAAAATGAAGCCATTTGAGGACTCGGTTTTCTATATGGACAAAAGTGTTATGGAATGTGAGGTGCCAGAGTTAATAGTTTGTTACAAAGAGAATACATACCATGTCAAGGACATCTGCGTTGACGAGGGAGTACCTTTGCAGGACAAGTTCTTGTTTGACACAGATACACATGAGAAGAATGTTTGTGAATTCTTGCCTTCTGCACGTGACATGAGCAACGAGATGATTAAAGAAAAGTCTGCCCTTGATATGCTGACTCAGGATGTGCAGAAATCTTCATCAGAAAAGCAAAATGTCAATCTTCATTTGCCTGTACCAGGTATGCTGAAATCTTCTGAAGAAATGGGTTCAAAATATGAATCATCCCTTGATTGTGATCCCAAGCATTTAGTACAAACAGAGGAAGTAATGGATTATGTAACAAAGAAGGTTGCAAATGATGCATCCAACAAAATTTTATCACTGAGAGATCTGCTTTCAATGCCAGAATTAGGTGCAAACTTTACCCCAACCAGGGCCTCTAATCACAGCATGGATAAAGTTGAACAGCAATCTCTTCAGGTATGCACATCTTTACCAATGTTATTTTGGTTTGCTCCTAATTTCTCAATTAAAAATAAATAAAGGAAGTGTGGCTGTATCCATCTATGATGAATTGTTATTTGAATTGCGTATTATTTACGTTTTGCATTTCCCTTCTCTATATTCTCTTTTTATTTAGGGGGAGTGGGCCATTTGCATAAAAAAAACTGCGCTAACTGATAGATGATGGTGTGAGTTTATAAGCAGCACAAAAAGTGTGTGATTGCTTACATCACCTAACAAACAGACCTATGTACTTGTAGCCTTAGGAGGAAGGTGTTTGGTAGAATAGCTGTGATCATCTGGTCTGTGACAAATTCATGCTATTTCCCATGTAAAGGGATTGATAGTTCCTCAGGTCCTTGTTTGAGAAAACCTTTTTCAGCTTGGTTTTCAAACCCATTAGGTATAGAGGGACAGCAAAAGTTGAGGTGCTGGGTTTGACATCTTTTGGATGTAATGCTTTTTGTAATGGTTTGAATGCTTGATTGCAGTGCCCAAGGGAAAATGCAATATTGGACAAAGATTCGGCCAGTGAAGAGTGTGAAAATGGCAGTGAGGAAACAATCTCAGTGAGCTCTACTTTGGTTTCTGCTGCTCAAGAATCAGACACTGGCTGTAAGGCAGCAACCTTGGCAATCTCTGCCCAGGATACTGCATATCAAGTAGCAGACCATAGCCACAAGGAAGCAGCCATCGTGAGTTCCACTCTGACTTGCCCAGCAGAAGAATCAAACAGCAGCAGCAAGGAATCAAAATTGGCAGGCCATGCTTTCGATTCTATTTCTGAAGAATCAACCAGCAGGATCCTGGAAGATTTACCTTACGATAGTAAGAAAGTGGCACAAAGCATCACTTTTGACGATGACTCTTCTGATCCCACTGCATGTGGGAGAGAGTCTCCTCAGCATAGTGACTCTCAGCATCTTGGGACTCGAATTTTACCCAGGCTTGAAGATCCTAATACCGAGTTATACTCAGGTCAACTTTATGCTGATGGAGAGTCAAGTTTCTCTGCAGCAGTCCCTTTATCAGGTCTGATAAGTTACTCGGGGCACATTGCAAATTCTGGGAGTGTCTCGCTTAGATCAGACAGCAGCACAGCCAGCACCCGCTCCTTTGCCTTCCCCGTGTAAATAACTACCAAACTATTTCTTTCTTCTTTTATACGTGCATCTGTATAAAATCCATGACTAATAATTTGATTATGCCTATTGGTTTGCACAGATTACAGTCAGAATGGAATAGCAGTCCCGTAAGAATGGCGAAAGCTGACCGGAGACATTTCCAAAAAGCTAGGAGTTGGAGGCAGGGCCTTCTTTGCTGTAGATTCTGAATTCTTCTGTTCTGTCCATAGGTTAAAGTGAAAAAAATATATAACGGCATTGAAATTTTTATTTATGTTTTAGTTAGTAGTATACGTATACATCTTTCTCTCTTTCGTATTGGTTGGGGTGAACTTGCAGCAGCATTATATTATCAAAAGTTTCGGAGTTTCGGACACTCGTACATCGGTTGAGATGTAATCAATAATTTTGCTGTTATTATTTCATCTGCCTTTATTAAATTTCATTTCTGACCCCTGTATATATATATTGATGCCGGAGCATTCCTCTCCCGTACTTTCGGCTCATTATAGTGTCCGAAACTTTTAGTCCTTCCACCTATCTGTTTTGTTGTCTTCTATTTATTTGAGTTGGATTTTATTAATTTGGGCTATTTTTAACTGTCTGGATTTGAACTAATTAATTAGTCCTCATGGGATTTCGGATTTTCTAATTAAAATAGGATGTGGCTGCATGTGGCTTAGATAGATAATTTTTATGTGTTGTGAATCCTTATTTGTCTAATATTTTTTATTTATTTATGAATCCATGTAATATATGGATCTGTATTTAATTAAATTGAATTAATTAAGTTCTAATTAAATATGGATGATATAAGTTCAAATCTAGTTAGAAAAAAATTATATGTACGAAAAAAAATTCTATTTAGAAGGAGCCATAATCGGCTAAAGAAGAAAAAATTAATCCTAGTCTATTTTTTAGGTATTTCGTTGAGTATTTAAGCACGTTTTGTGCTTCTTTATCAATAGGTTTTGATAAAAAATTGAATGAAAAATTAGAGAGTTTTGTTTGCAACTTCTTGCGTTTTTTTGTATTGATTGATTAGGATGTTATGAATATATCTTTAGAGTGATCGATTAAGGTGGGCTTAGATTAACAATTGCATTAGATGGACTCTTGACGAACATATTTTGTAAGTAATTTCTAAATCAACTAGATTAGATGATTCTTCTAAAAGTGGGATATTAGAGCTGTCTTTTATTTTTGTGTTTGCTTGATAAATTATAGGTTAATCTGAATTTCAAAATTGAATAAACTCGGTCTCAAAGCTAATAATCAATATTAGAAATTTTTGTTTGATATGAAATTTTGATAGTATTTAGCTAAGGGGTTGATTTAGTTTTTATTAAAAATAAATAAATAAATAAATATTTTCAAAAATATTTGAGTGGGTTTTGGGATGTCAAAATCATTGTAAATTCTGGAACCTATTATGTCCAGAAATTTGACTTGTTGAAAAAAGAGGTTATAAAGCTTATATTGATCTGAATTTTGGTACATGCATACCTTTAGACATTATCTACTTTATGTTAAAACTAGTTGTTTTGCCTGCGTTATACTGCAGGTTGGATAAAATATATAAAATCGTTTAAAGAAATCATTTTTGTTTGATAGTTTAATTGATATTGTGAATCTATAAAAATATATGAAATCAAAGGTGAAAAAATTATTTATAATTTTTTAATAAAAAATTTATATTTAACTATTTCTTATTTATGTTTTTCATATTTTTTTCCTTTTGAAAAAAGATTTATCCTTGTTAATTCATGGATTATTAGCTAAAAAAAATTAATTAAATTTTTAAAAAAATCTTTAGTATTTCATAAGACTGTGTCAAAAAATATAAATAACAATTATTAAAATTTTATATAGAATTGAACAAATAATTTTTTTATTTAATGTTGATGAGAATACGGTTTTTGAAAAAATACGAGTTTAATTTTTATATATTTATTGACAAAAGAATGAATAATATTAAAATATAAAAAAAAACTATATTAATTTGAATCATTGACTGGTTAAGCCAAAACATTATTTTAATTATTTAATTAAAAAAATAAACGAGTTAATGCTTAGTGTAGAAAAATAATATTATTATAATATGATCACAATAATAATAACGTATGACTATATTAAAAAAAATGACAAATTAAAATAACAAATTTCAAAAAATAAAAATAATTAAAAAAATACTAAAATAAAATGAGATCAAATCACAATGCAATTAAAGTTTGAAATTGAAAAAAAAAGTATAGAAAATTTGAGGATTAAAGTGCTAAAAATATAACATGAATAGTGAAATGAATAATGATTTGTGAGTGTGTGAATAGTGATTTGTGAGTGTATGAATAATATTTCAAATAGTAAATGAATAGTAAAACTATGTTTTACTTTAGTTTTATGTATGATTTCAGCAAAATTTGAGTTGATTTACTAGGTCAACGCACCTCCTTTAGATTCGAAATTTGTGGTTGATTGTTTGGAGCTTGTGGATTTTTTTTTGTGTGCTTGTGTTTGAGGATTTAGTTAATTGTGCTTGTGTTTTGTTTGAGGTTTGGTTGGATAGAATTTGAGGTTGGTTTATGGTTAAAATATTTTGACTTAGGGCTATTTGCTTGTTGATTGTGTATTTGAATTTCTATAAAGTTTGACATCTCTCAATCTCGCGTCATATATATATTCTTTCCCAAGATTGACAAAGACAGGACTCAAATGGGAGATCATTTACCCCTTGCTTTTGCAAGAAATCTTGTGATAGAGGCGACTTATTGGATTTAAAGACTAGACTTCTACCTCTGTCCTTTTTTACCATAGATACATTACAATAAAAAAAAAAAAATTTGGGGGCTTTTGTTGTGCAAGTACTATGGAATCAAGCACTATTTTTTTATTATTATTTTTATGTCTTTTTTTGGGCAATTATATGCAAATTTTTATGTAAAAATGGGAATAAATTGTTGTGGATTCATGTTTTTATAATTTTATTTAGATTTCTTAAAATTAATAGAAAATTGTGTGTTATACTTATTAGTTAACAAAAAATTAATTAACACATCGTTTAGGGGACAAATAGATGGAAAAATAAAGGAACCTAAAATATGGGAGTTCATCTTTTATGGTATTAGCTAGCTAGTCATTATTCCGAACAACAACCTCCATGAGTTGTTTATATTAACTCTTGTAACTTTAATGTTATGACTTCTTTGATGAAGAATAAACCTATCGGTTCGAACTAGTCCGTATATATTATTTTGACGATATTGCCTAATATCCTCGTTAATTTTGGCTCATCACAATATACAATTAAAACTTTTAAACTTTGAAGTATTTTTGTTGATTTTTATACATCATAGCAAATTGTGTTTAAGCATGCATTTTATACTTCAAATTCTTTTTCTTTTCTTTTACATATAGTATATTTTTCATATATTTAACCACTTCTTTTTTCTTTTTTTATTTTGATTTTTGTGGGTTACTTTTATTAGTGACTTAAATTTAAATCGATGCGACTCAAAGGCGAGAGGCCTTAATGGCCTATGCCTAGGGCCCCCATAGAAAGGGGCCCCCCAATTAAAATGTTACCTTAAGCTTGTATCGAGTGAAGAATGAGATAAATTAAAAGGTGCGACCTCCACTTAAGCATGAAACATTATTCTTCTCTTCATTAACGAGTCATAGGTACTAAAGTTCCCGCATTGAAAGGCTCTCATTGTTCGGAGATATTATTATTTCAACGTTAAAAATTCTACCCTTTCTAGATGTCTTTCCGAGTTACTTTCTATTTATAAAAACTTTCAATTTTTATTTTACTAAGACACTTTTACTTACGGAAAAGTTTTTAAAAAATATTTGTGAGTAAAACAATTTTTAGATCTTCAAATTTTGTTATTATATTCCTTTCTTTCTCCAAACAATAAAGGATCTCTTATAAATCCTTTTCTAATTAGCTTGCGAGAAGAATATGAAAGTAATTTTTTAATTTATGCAAATAAAATTATGTCCATAAATCATATAATATTTTATTTTTTTCTCAAATTTCTTTTTATTTTTTTAGTCGATTCTCTCCAGGTTTACTTAATTAGGTGTGGCAAGCAAATATAATCGGGTATCAAAATTTCTTACTCTTTTTATAATTATATTTTAATTTATTATTTGAATAATATGTCTACTAGAAAGTATGAATTTGGATATGAAAAACGTAAGGAAAAAAGAAAGGTAGAAGAACTAATTCAATCCCAAAAAGGTGCACTTGATAAATTTGTTACTAATATTAAACCCCAAATACTAGAAAAACAAGATAAATATTTAAATGAAAATATAGTTGAAAATTGTGAAGAAAAATTTGAAGATAATAATTCAAATTCACCAAAAAGTAATGAAGAATATGATAAAAATTTAAAAGATGATGTTTCAATCAATAAAAGTAAAAATATTAACGATGAAGATGCAATAACAATTACAAATATTTATGATCCGGCACAATGAAAAAATTTAGACTAAAAAATGATTGATTTATTAGTTGAGAAAGGTTCAATCGAGAGAAATTTCAGATTTTTCAAGAGATAAAAATTCTAGATATTTTTCTACGAGTTCATTACATTCAAAAATTACCAAATTGAGAAAAACATGATAGAAAATGGCTAGTATATTCAAAAGAGTTAGATAAAGCATTTTTTTATTGTTGTAAATTATTTAGTTTGAAATCAAATATTCAATTAGCAAATGAAGGGGGTAGAGATTGGAAAAATCTTAGCGCCAAACTTAAAAGTCATAAGACAAGTAATGAACATGCTATTAATATGAACATTTGGGTTGATGCTTAGATGAGATTGCTTAAAAATAAAACAATTAATAAGCATTTACAAGAGAAAATAAATAAAGAGAAAGAGCATTGGAGGAATGTATTATTAAGAATTATTGTTGTTGTAAAAGCTCTTTCAAAAATAATTTGGCATTTTGTGGCACAAATGGGAAGATTTGTCGGGACAATAATGAAAATTTTTTGAGTT